ATGGAGAGGCTGACGGACCCGGGCACGCCGGGGGTCAGCGGCCAGGGGCGGAGGGCCGGGAAGCCCCCCCCCCCAGTTGGCCGGTGCGTAAAACCGCGGTGGGCGGTCGACCCCGACTCTGAAGTGCGGCCCCGCAGGCACGACACCACCAGAGTCAAAAAGAAGACCAGACTGGCAGGGAAGAAGCGAGAGGCGAGTCGACCTCGCCTCTACACAGACTCGCCGACCCCATTTGGGCGGATGGCGAGCGGACAATCGTTCCGGTGCCCAAAAAGTGCTGGTGGGGAACGGTTTCACTATGGGGGTGGTCCGTGCACGATTTTTTCCCATACAAAGTGGGCCTCGAAAGTTGACAAGTTCCCGACACGCGGGGGACTTGGTCGTTTTCAATGTCAAGTCACGTGTACCCCGGGGCGCCTCGCGGGGCCCCCCGGGGGGCATCTGCTCCCGGCATGCCCACCCCCGGAGCCACCCCCCGAAGCGTCTACCTCCCGGCGTGGTCACCCCCGGAGCACCCCCCCGGAAGGCACCTCGCTCCGGGCCCGACCAACCCCGCCACCTCGAGATATATATTTCCTGGGTGAGATGGTGTGGTCCCCCATGGCGCCCCCCCCTCCTGTCTGGTCCACCCCAACCCCCCTCGCGGCTTCGGGTCCCGCCCACTTGCTCCCACACCCATTTGTTCCCGGGGCGCTCGCCCCCGGAACCCCGCCGCGCCCAGGGCCTTCCCCCCCCGGGAGCCACCCCGGGTCCTCGCCCGCTATGCCGTCACGAACTGGCGAACCCTCTTGGTCGCCGCCGCCCAACCTCCCCAGCCAACTGGTCAGGGGCCGGGCCCGCGTGCGGACGCCCTTCGCCCCGGCTCAGGACTCCCGCACTCGATCCCCGTCGCCGGCCGGCCCCGCCGTCCAAGTCCCCCCGCCCGCCAACTGGCCACCCCTCGCCGCCGTCCCGGGCCCCGGAGGACCACCCCCCGCGGCGGCCCGCGGTGCCCAGCCCACCGGGGGGGGAGGCCTCCCGGGAGGGGCTGCGGTGGTGCCGTCGCGGGACCGCCCTGCCAGGCCCGCGCCGACACGCCCACACCCTCCCCCTCTAGGATCCCGACCCCCGGCGCCACGCACCACGCCCGCCCCGGCGAGCGGCCCCCCGGGGGCCCGGA